ATTAACAAAGTTGAAAAAAAAGTAATTATTTGTTTTAGTTATTCTGCCAGTTTTCTTTTTTTTCTTGATTCTTTACTGGAATTGTCTAATACTCTTTTGAAAACTCTTTCCTCTTGATAAATTTCATAGATAATCCTTTCTTTGTCTAAATATGTTTGCAAAGATTTGGTGTCTGCTAATTTAAAAATGTAAGGAGCAATTTTTTTTTTTTTCACTTTGTTCCTTCTTCAAAATACTTCTAATGGTGCTATAATTCTTTGGTTCCATAGTGATGGTAATGCTTTAATTTGAACCACAATATTAAAAGTAGATAGTAAATAATTTTTCTGCTCACTAATGTTATCTGAATTTGCCCAAATTTTTTGAAAGAAATCTAAGAGAAATAATGCAGATTTTTTTGTCATTGTATTGTGAGATAGTAAATCTTGGACCTAACAATTACCCGGCTAATATTGACCAATTAGAACGAACTTACTACGGAGGTCATGTGATGCGCTAAATATATTGTTGTAACGGCTACGCCGCAGATTGCGCAGTGTCATATGAAAGACTATTCCTATTCATATTTCTATATTAATATTTATTAACCTTCTCATCTGATGTAAATATTTATTTAGAATTAATAATTAGTTGATAAGCATATTATTGGAGAGTAGAGTAGCACATATCACATTATTTGTACTGCCCCAAGAGGTATAAATACACTTGGCTTTAGACCAAGTTAAAAGGACAATAAAAAAATAAATCAATTGTTAGTATTGTTAATAACAACCTTGATAACATTAACATAATAATAACTCTTAATAAATATATAACCTTACATAACATAGTCTTTGACTGTAAGTAACTAATAAACCCAGTGTGGTTGACCCCCCCAGCCCTTCTAATGGTTAATGGTCTGGCAAACCTTTAATTATTAGTTGGGAACCCTTTTAATTATTGAGAAACATCTCAAGGGGATGCCTTTGGGATATTATACATATATAGAACCTAGGGACCCTTTTATCTGAAAAGATAAAAGTTATATTTTTATTATTAATTTTTGACTGTAAGTCAGCGAGTAGGCTGTATGTCAAACAATAGAATCAACTGTAAGTCAGTGAGGAGGCTGTGTGTTGAGCTAAATAACCTATTAAATAGGAAACTCAGATTGCACGCTTGCAGTAGTTACGGTTGGTGTAACTGGTGAAACTATTCAACCAATGGTGCAACTCAAAGGATGTTTGTCGAAATTGCCGTAACTGTTGCAACTGGTGAAATTGGGGAAATTGGTAACTGGCAAAACTTTATTATAATTTTTAAAAATTATATCTTTATTACTATATACTCAAATAAATCATGTTAAAATTTTAAACAATTCATCTAATTATTTTCCAAATCATCTTGGTTCATAATATTTTCTACTAGAGCACTTGGATTATAAGACATATGGGGCATGGACTATAGAAAGGGGATAGCTGCAAAATCACGATTTTGAGAAAATCGAAAAAAAAGATCTGCATTTCAAGTAATTTACTATTGTTTTTAAAAAATTAAATGGAAAATATCTCGAAATTTTATTAAGTAAAGTGGGTATGGTTTCTAAGCTAAAATTAATCCTTGTAGCAAATTACGCATAGAAGTGGCATTAACTCAAAATCACGATTTTGGTAGTTATCCCCTTTTCTATAGTCCATGCCCCATATATTTTGTCACAACCTTAGGTTCTCGTGTAACAATTTTTTTTATTTTAAATGAAAAATAAAAAATGATTCCAGAATTAACACCAGAAGAATGGCTTGAAGAAGCAATTAAAGATAGTTTTATTATAAAATATGAGTTAAGTGAGTTTAGTGGAATAGAAGTTGTTGGCACGGGCGCAACTGGCTTGGTTCACCGAGCCTTCTTAAGAAAATTACAAAATCATGTTGCTTTAAAATCTTTTGAATTTTCAAAGAAATTTACTAATAAAGAATTTGTAAATGAGGTAAACTTCGTTTCTAGTATTTTTATTTATTACATATATACTTTTTATTTTTATTTACTTATTTTATTTTATTTTTCCAGCTAAAACTACATAATAAAGCTCAAAGCCACGAAAATATTATAAATTTTTATGGACTAACCAAAAGTATTATTGATTTTTATATAATAATAACAATAATATTTAAAATTTGGATGAATTTCTTATTATAATTATTGTATTTTTATTAGTGCCTAATGCTTCAACTTATACTCTTGTTATGGAATATGCTAATAATGGAACTTTAAAAGAATATTTAAAAGAAAATAAAGAAAACCCAAGATTTGATTGGGAACAAAAAATAAAACTTGCTAAACAATTAGCAGATGCAATTAGTTTTTTACATCATAATAATATTGTACATAGAGATTTGGTAAGATATTATATGTCTGTTTTGAAAAATTTAATTAGCATATAATTATCATGATTGTTAATCAATCACCAATTAAATTAATTATCAAGAAATCAGATAATGTTTTAGTGAGTAATGGAAACATTAAGTTATCAGATTTTGGTATTTCAAGAAGGTTAACAGAATCTACAAATTTGTTAACAAGAGCTTTTGGATCAGCTAGATATTCAGATCCAGAACATTTACGAAATCCTGAAGGTTTCAGCAGAACAAAAAAATCAGATGTTTATGGACTAGGAATGTTACTTTGGGAAATTTCAAGTGGAACAATCCCGTATAAAGGTTTCAACACTTTGAATTTATTCCACCTTATAGCAAATAAACATTACCGTGAAACACCAGTAAAAGGATCACCTAGAAAATATGTACAACTATATCAAAGTATTACTATTTAATTAATATTACACATAATATAAATTTTGTTAATGATTTATTTAATGATATAATATTTTTTCTATTAAAAAATAATAGGATGTTGGGAAAATGATCCCAAGAACCGACCAGATGCCAAGAAAGTTTTAGATACACTGATAAATTTTACTGAACAAGATTATGAAGATGTTATAGATTCTTGTCGAGCCCCATCAACTTATAAGCATTTAGAATTAAGCTCAATAAAATTTGATGATGAATTAACTGATCGACTCCCATATCCAATTTATGCTGAAAATACAGGGATACTATCAGATAATTCACCAACACCATCAATAACCCTTTCATCCCCCCGAAAATCATTGTCATCGTTTTCTTCAGATGAAAGTGAATCACTAAGATCACCAGTACCAGATAATAATAATATTGGACATATCAACAATTTTCCAACTTTATATCCTTATGATGATGGACAGTTCAATATGAATGATTTTATAGATCAAATGAAATATGAAGCAAGAAGATTTAATAATATGTTATTAAACAGATTTATTTATCTAACAACTATTAAAGAAGATGTTGGAATAATTATTGAGGATTTAAAAAAAACTATGTTATTAACACGTCGAAATCCAGAATTGGTGTATAAAAGTTTACAAGAAGATTTTTCAAGATATTCATGTTTAATTGGGTTTTTTGATGAATTTGGTATAGGAACAGAAATTAATGAATTAAAAGCATTAAGAATATACTTGCAAGAATCACAAAGTCATGAACCAATTAGTGTTATTCCACAATTATATTTAGTAAGATTTCTTGAAAAAAATTCACATGATGAAGAAGGGAACAAAGATCAAAATGTTAAACCACAATCACAATGGTTTGCAAGAATAACATTATTAATGTATGGCGATGCATATTTAGAATATGCTAAACAGCTAGATAAAAGAAAAATATTTGGATTATTTGAAGAGTTTGCAAAGAAAGGTAACAATTGGGGATTATATAGTGTTGCCTGGTGTTACTTGAGAGGAATTGGCGTAGATAAAAATGAAAAAGAGGCTTTAAGGATTTTCTTAGAAGCTGCTTATAAGCAAAATTCTCTTTCTCAATTTCAACTTTCAATGCTTTATGCAAAAGGAATTGGAACTAATGTTAATATACCAGAAGCTGAAAAATGGATTAAACAAGCAGAAGAACAAAACGATCCCATCTCAACACCTTATATTCAAAAATTTATTAGTGTAATATCTAATAATAACTAGAGAGAAAAAACATTTATCATATATATATGTATTGGTTCTTATATCAACTATTATTATTTATTATCTGTATATTTATTATGTATTTTTTTTTGTAAAATAAATTATGATTTGTTGAATTGCTCAACACCACAATTCATTTTTTAATTTCTCTGACATTAACTACTTGTTAGCTTTGTTTGGACAGGTGATATATTTGAATTCATTTTTTACAAATGGGTGAATATTGTTATAAAGATATTCTTGATGTTTAAGCCTCATAGAAGTTGGTGATGATAATATGGGAAGTGATAAGGTTCTAATATCTTTTATGACATTAAAATTCCTGCCCTCTTAGTCTTAATTCATGAAATGGGTGTCTGAGCTTTTACAAAACCAGGATCAGAAGGTTCGAATATTAAAATTTTTGAATAACACCTAACTTCTTAAAGTATGCTTCTAAGCTAATTCAATAACAAAATAAAATCTTTTTCCATCTTATAATATTGAGTTTTATTCGGTCCAGTCAACAGTACTGGATTTTTTTGCAATATTATCATTTCGTAGTTTTATGCTTTTTGTCATTGGTAAAAAATTTGTTACTAAAATAATCAAAAACTCGAAATTTAATAATATTTTTTATAAATCACGATTTTGCAGACCACTGAATAATTAAAACAATGATAAACTATATTGGTTGGAAATGTTTTTAGGTATCGTTTCAATGAATCTATGAAAATTGTATTTATACCAAAATTACTAATCACGTTTCAACGAATTTTATATCTGATACGTTTTATAAAAATTTTCGTTGAAACGAGATTTGATTGCCCAAAAGATTAAAAGCGAAATGCAAAAATGTTAAAAAATCTTTATTATAATTGAATTAAAGTTTCAATTCGGAACATCAATTCTTATCCGAGTTATTATTATTCGTAATACAACTCGATCTTAATTCGAATTTTTCGTTTTTTCGTTTTGAGCTTTAGTGGTGAGATAACGGTGTTTTTCTGGCAAAGGATTCATAACTCTTATTAAGTTGGAAATGAAGATGAACAATTGAGATTACATCGAAATTTTAGAAAGAAATTTATTGTCATTGACAAGAACAAAAATTATTGTCCGTTTGGGTTTTGCCCGCAGTTTAGGAGTTTTGCCCATAGTTTAGGCAATTTTTAAATTTTGCCAGAAAATTTTCATGGAGTCTAAACCAAAATTGCCTAAATGTTTGAACTATGGGCTAGTTTCGGCCACCATTACTAGAACTCAAACAACAAGGTACGCTAGATTGATTGAATCTTTGAAGTATTGTAATTTGGTAGTTAAATCATAGTTTATTATCATCATAATTATCTTAAATTTGCTTAGTGTTATTAACTCTATTATTATTATTTGAAAGATAGTATAACAGTTGACTTATAATGAGCAAGCAGACACGAAGTTTTTGAATAATATGAAAGTTTATTTCATTCATTCATTATTTTTAAAAGAAATTTTATTAATCATTGTTTATTTAAAACGTATTGACTATATAGAAAGTAATATAATGGTTTTTTTTAAATTATTATTGTGCTATGGTGCGAATCATCTAAAGACATCACGTGCTGCGCCACTTGCCGAAAATTTTTATGCTGATCTTGCTTTATA